CTGGAAAAGCTGGCTGTGAACATACAAATATATACTACTGGTGAAGTCAGAATTTGGGGCTCGGACTTAGTTATCGATACTTCGAAACAGAACGATTCAGCCACAGCCTCAGCAGTGGATGTTCAATTGGAAATTGAAGCTTCAGAATCGCTCACAGGTGTGACTGCTTACTGTTTCTTAATTCATGATCGTATTGTAGAATATGTACCTTTTACTAGAGAAGTAAGAAAACTTGTGTAAATATTATTAAGAAATTATTTGTAACAATAAAAAAACTATGATTTAATAATTTTGTTTTTTTCTTGAAATAATTATTTTAGTTTTAAAAATTGGTAAATGTTAAATATTTTTTGTGCGAGACGAAATTTGGTGAACAAACAGTGTAAAATTTGTTACACGGTAAATCTGAGTGCTCCAAGGGGACATTCCCCACTTGAACTTTTTTTTTCCCTGGAAAAGCTGGCTGTGAACATACAAATATATACTACTGGTGAAGTCAGAATTTGGGGCTCGGACTTAGTTATCGATACTTCGAAACAGAACGATTCAGCCACAGCCTCAGCAGTGGATGTTCAATTGGAAATTGAAGCTTCAGAATCGCTCACAGGTGTGACTGCTTACTGTTTCTTAATTCATGATCGTATTGTAGAATATGTACCTTTTACTAGAGAAGTAAGAAAACTTGTGTAAATATTATTAAGAAATTATTTGTAACAATAAAAAAACTATGATTTAATAATTTGTGTTTTTTCTTGAAATAATTATTTTAGTTTTAAAAATTGGTAAATGTTAAATATTTTTTGTGCGAGACGAAATTTGGTGAACAAACAGTGTAAAATTTGTTACACGGTAAATCTGAGTGCTCCAAGGGGACATTCCCCACTTGAACTTTTTTTTTTCCCTGGAAAAGCTGGCTATGAACATACATATATATACTACTTTCACCATCGTTTTCAGCTTACTTACTTACATATATTTCAGTTACAAAAAATCGCAAAAAAAAAGGTGTCCGGTAAAGTAGAAATATACCGTTGTTAATTATACTAACTTTTTGTGCAACGCCCAAAATGTTTTTTCTTACATATTTTGCATTCTAAAAAAATATTTAAATCATTTAGGTATTTGAAATCAATAATCTCATTTATAACATAAAATACTATTTATACATACTTGGTTTATCGTGAGATGGGGTCAGTTCTCCTACAACCAATAAGAACGGACTACCCCAATGTTACCAACTATGGAAAATCAAAATCTGAATACCGACTACCATTTTATCAGAAAATGATAAGCGGCAAATGAACGGGAGAGTGGGAGGTAGATTTTATTTTTATTTTTGAAATAAATTAATTTATATTTTATAATATGTCTTGTTTATGGAATTACAAACAATGGCTTATTAAAATCATAATCAGCATTCAGAATATACTTTAATACTAAAAATCTTTTTTTATAAATAAGAAGTGGGATATAACTGTTAGGAGTTATACATTGAACTGTTAGTTTGTCCCCTGTGCAGTCATATTATATACTAAAAAACTCTTTGGAAAAAATGCAAAAAATGTGAATATACAGATAGCCAATGAGTGCGTACAAGAGAGGGAATTTACATATACTTACTAACCTGTTACCTGAAAAACATTTTAAATTATCTTATACGCACTAATTCGCTAGGACTGTATGTCCACGAGATATTAAATCGAATATTAACACATTTAAGATAAAAAATTCAATTTTGTTTTATTTTTTTTTTATCCAATACAGCAAATATTGTAAGCAGCATAAATAAATATATGTATATACAAACATTTAGAAAAAAACAAACATGATTTAACAAATGGTATCGTACGAACCGGTTTCACAATTACAAATAACTTCGGTTTTACAATATTTACTTAAGACTTTTTGAACAAACTGATTTCCTTTTATTAACAATACAAATAAACATCTAGGTGAGAATCGAGTATGTTCTATAAAACAATTATCACCGATTTCAAAACTATGTAGAATTATTCCACACCAATGACATTGAACTGCATCGTCGAGATTGATATAGTAAAAACCACATTCCGAGAGTTTGTACTTATTCTGTCCGGTATTTGAAGGGAAACTTCTAAAAGTTCGTAACCTCGATACAAATGTAGAGAATTCTGGATACGCTGGCGTTGAATTGAATCGTATTTGATCGACCAATGACTGGATATCGTTTGAGCATTTTTTAAAATTCATTTTTGAAGAAATTAAATAACTTATACAATTTAATAAAATTTTGAGAAAATAAAGAAAAATGAGACACAACTTGAGTGAACGATAGATCATTAGTAACTGAATATAATAAAAAAAAATAATCAACTTCAAAAATTATTGTAAATTTGTTTATCAAATTTTAGATAAAAAAAAAAGTGTAACCAACACGAGTAAAAAAGAAAAACAATATTAAATATTTCTTTTACGTGAGACGAAATTTGGTGAACAAACAGTGTAAAATTTGTTACACGGTAAATCTGAGTGCTCCAAGGGGACATTCCCCCCTTGAACTTTTTTTTTTCCCTGGAAAAGCTGGCTGTGAACATACAAATATATACTACTGGTGAAGTCAGAATTTGGGGCTCGGACTTAGTTATCGATACTTCGAAACAGAACGATTCAGCCACAGCCTCAGCAGTGGATGTTCAATTGGAAATTGAAGCTTCAGAATCGCTCACAGGTGTGACTGCTTACTGTTTCTTAATTCATGATCGTATTGTAGAATATGTACCTTTTACTAGAGAAGTAAGAAAACTTGTGTAAATATTATTAAGAATTTATTTGTAACAATAAAAAAACTATGATTTAATAATTTTGTTTTTTTCTTGAAATAATTATTTTAGTTTTAAAAATTGGTAAATGTTAAATATTTTTTGTGCGAGACGAAATTTGGTGAACAATCAGTGTAAAATTTGTTACACGGTAAATCTGAGTGCTCCAAGGGGACATTCCCCCCTTGAACTTTTTTTTTTTCCCTGGAAAAGCTGGCTGTGAACATACAAATATATACTACTGGTGAAGTCAGAATTTGGGGCTCGGACTTAGTTATCGATACTTCGAAACAGAACGATTCAGCCACAGCCTCAGCAGTGGATGTTCAATTGGAAATTGAAGCTTCAGAATCGCTCACAGGTGTGACTGCTTACTGTTTCTTAATTCATGATCGTATTGTAGAATATGTACCTTTTACTAGAGAAGTAAGAAAACTTGTGTAAATATTATTAAGAAATTATTTGTAACAATAAAAAAACTATGATTTAATAATTTTGTTTTTTTCTTGAAATAATTATTTTAGTTTTAAAAATTGGTAAATGTTAAATATTTTTTGTGCGAGACGAAATTTGGTGAACAAACAGTGTAAAATTTGTTACACGGTAAATCTGAGTGCTCCAAGGGGACATTCCCCACTTGAACTTTTTTTTTTCCCTGGAAAAGCTGGCTATGAACATACATATATATACTACTTTCACCATCGTTTTCAGCTTACTTACTTACATATATTTCAGTTACAAAAAATCGCAAAAAAAAAGGTGTCCGGTAAAGTAGAAATATACCGTTGTTAATTATACTAACTTTTTGTGCAACGCCCAAAATGTTTTTTCTTACATATTTTGCATTCTAAAAAAATATTTAAATCATTTAGGTATTTGAAATCAATAATCTCATTTATAACATAAAATACTATTTATACATACTTGGTTTATCGTGAGATGGGGTCAGTTCTCCTACAACCAATAAGAACGGACTACCCCAATGTTACCAACTATGGAAAATCAAAATCTGAATACCGACTACCATTTTATCAGAAAATGATAAGCGGCAAATGAACGGGAGAGTGGGAGGTAGATTTTATTTTTATTTTTGAAATAAATTAATTTATATTTTATAATATGTCTTGTTTATGGAATTACAAACAATGGCTTATTAAAATCATAATCAGCATTCAGAATATACTTTAATACTAAAAATCTTTTTTTATAAATAAGAAGTGGGATATAACTGTTAGGAGTTATACATTGAACTGTTAGTTTGTCCCCTGTGCAGTCATATTATATACTAAAAAACTCTTTGGAAAAAATGCAAAAAATGTGAATATACAGATAGCCAATGAGTGCGTACAAGAGAGGGAATTTACATATACTTACTAACCTGTTACCTGAAAAACATTTTAAATTATCTTATACGCACTAATTCGCTAGGACTGTATGTCCACGAGATATTAAATCGAATATTAACACATTTAAGATAAAAAATTCAATTTTGTTTTATTTTTTTTTTATCCAATACAGCAAATATTGTAAGCAGCATAAATAAATATATGTATATACAAACATTTAGAAAAAAACAAACATGATTTAACAAATGGTATCGTACGAACCGGTTTCACAATTACAAATAACTTCGGTTTTACAATATTTACTTAAGACTTTTTGAACAAACTGATTTCCTTTTATTAACAATACAAATAAACATCTAGGTGAGAATCGAGTATGTTCTATAAAACAATTATCACCGATTTCAAAACTATGTAGAATTATTCCACACCAATGACATTGAACTGCATCGTCGAGATTGATATAGTAAAAACCACATTCCGAGAGTTTGTACTTATTCTGTCCGGTATTTGAAGGGAAACTTCTAAAAGTTCGTAACCTCGATACAAATGTAGAGAATTCTGGATACGCTGGCGTTGAATTGAATCGTATTTGATCGACCAATGACTGGATATCGTTTGAGCATTTTTTAAAATTCATTTTTGAAGTGTAGGGTGAGGTTGGCAATACCACCATCCTACCACCTCCGACGCCGCACTGTTGTGTGTGTGTGCGTGTAGTACGTTACGTCTCTCACTAGTCTCGCTTTTAAAATATTATGTACGTTAAGGTTAAAACAGTAATAAACACTTATGAACGTTATTTTCTTTGTTGTTTTTTATGAATTATATATTTTAACTTATGTTATGTTGATTGATGATGGTTCGGCGTAAGAGTAACACGGCCTACAACTTCAGAAGTGGGATTAACTCGATTCAACCGGATGAAAACCGCGGAGCCGTGCACATGCACGACCACGATGTCGCTGTCAATGGCGACGGTGCTCACGAAGCTGCCCTAACACCTGCAATTGTTACACCACCCGCGAGTGGCGAAGGTTCCAATCAGAATGCAACTCCTGACTTGAACGCAATGTTTCAATTACTGATGGAACAAAATCGTATGCTTATGCAACAACTCTCTGTTTCGAATTCAAAGACGAATAATGAACAAAGTAATTCGTTTTATGTCATGCCGGATTTGAACAAAAGTGTTAAGTCGTTTACGGGTCGCGAATCCGGCTCGGAAGCAAAGGATTGGCTCAAAACTTTTATTGGAATGGCCGAAATTAACAAATGGTCCGATGCATTAAAAATTGAGTCAATTCGTGCAAATTTGAATGGTCCAGCTCAGCAATGGTTTAAAAGTCGTCGGTTCAGCTCTTGGGAAAATTTTGAGCAACAATTTACGCGAACATTCATTGGTATTCCAAATCGTACAGAGCTATGGCACGCATTGGTCGCTAGGACGCAATCGAAGAATGAAGCAACTATAGATTACTTTTATGATAAAGTACGTTTGTGCAGTGAATTATGTTTATCATTTGAAGAAACAAAAACACAATTATTGGAAGGGTTTTATTCACAAAGTATGGTTACATATTTATTATCAAAACATCATACAGAAACTGATGGTATGTTTGACGATATTTTAACTTATGAAAGATTATATAAAATGCGTACAACCCTTTATGGCTCAAATAAACAAACCTCCTCAAGCAATTCAAATTTATTCATTAAAGCTAGTGCTCAAAAAAATGAAAAAAATAACTCAAGTCTAGAACCGAAGCAAACCTTAATCAAACGTTGTTTTAATTGCTATAGTACTGCACATACTATTATTAATTGTCCAGAACCTAAACGGAAGCCGGGGTCATGCTTCAAGTGTGGATCTACAGAACATCAACAACGAGATTGTAAGATGAAAATTAACAAAACAAGTCGAGGCACCAGCGAGGACTCAACAATGATGATTGAAATCGATGAGGCAAGTAATCCACCGTTTATGCTTGGTATTGATGTCATGTGTGAGACAACTCGTTGGACCACAGATGCGCTGATTGATACAGGTAGTCCAATTTCTATTATTAAGGAAAATGCTGTTCCTAAAGATGTAATTGTTATCCCTGCTAGTTCTAAACTTTCTGGTATTAATAAAAGTCCATTAAAAGTATTAGGTGTTATTAATACAAAAGTATCTGTAAACAATTTACCAGTAGATTTAAATATCATATTTTATGTTGTTGATAATAATACTATGAATTATAATTGTTTGTTAGGAAGAAATTTTGTTAATAACAATTTAATCAAATTAACATTTGATAAAAACTTGTTCATTGAAAAAAATGATTCTTATAATGAATTTATTGTTGATGATATCATGTTAATTGATACTGGTGTGTCAAATTCATTACAATTAGATATTAATAGTGACTTATGTGCTGATATGCAAGAACAGGTTAAAGTAATATTTGATAAACATTATACTAATGCAGTAAGGCCTATAGAGAAAAAATTTCAATATGAAATGGAGGTAAAGTTAACTAAAGATCACACACCTATTTATTTTCAACCTAGGCGAATGTCTTATAGTGATAAAGAAAAACTTAAAGTAATAATTGATGAATTATTAACAAATAAAATCATAAGACCTAGTTTTTCTCCGTATTGTTCTCCTATTGTACTAGTTAAAAAGAAAAATGGTAACCTTAGACTCTGTGTAGACTTCAGGGAATTAAATAAAGTAACAATTAAAGATAGATTTCCATTACCATTAATTGATGACCACCTTGATATGTTAAAAGATAAAAAATATTTTACTAGATTAGACTTAAAAAATGCTTTTTATCATGTTAAAGTACACAATGACTCTGTTAAGTATTTATCATTTGTAACTCCTATGGGTCAATTCGAATATACTTGTATGCCTTTTGGATTTTGTAACAGCCCTGCAATATTTATGCGTTATATTAATAATATTTTTTATTCTTTGGTCAATTCTAATAAAATTTTGATCTATTTGGATGATATTCTTATAAGTACTGAAACAATAGATGAGAATATTAGCATATTAATTGAAGTATTTGATATTATGACTGAAAATCACCTTCAATTAAGATTAGACAAATGTTCGTTTTTACAGACTAAAATTCATTATTTAGGCTATGAGATTAGTCATAAAGGTATCACACCTAATCCAGATAATGTTGATGCTATACATAGTTTTCCTATACCGAAAAATGTAAAAGAAGTTCATAGTTTTTTAGGGCTAGCCAGTTACTTCAGGCGGTTCGTTAAAAATTTTTCTATTATTGCTAAACCCTTATATGATTTATTAAAAAAAAATCAAGACTTTGTTTTTGGGGAGGATCAATTGTCAACATTTGAAAAAATCAAATCATTTTTAACATCTCCACCAGTTCTGTGTCTTTATTCACCATTATTAGAAACAGAATTACACTGTGATGCTAGCCAATTAGGATTCGGTTCAGTTTTGGTTCAGAAACAGAAACATGACAATACCTTCCATCCAGTATTTTATTTTAGTAAACGCACCACTGAGTGTGAAACAAGATATCACAGCTATGAGCTAGAGTGTTTGGCAATAATTTATGCTCTTAAAAGATTTCATATTTATTTACAAGGTATGCCTTTTACAATTGTAACTGATTGTGATAGTCTTAGACTTACACTAAATAAAAAGGATATTTGTCCTCGTATAATGCGTTGGGCATTATTTCTTCAAAATTATGATTATAAAGTAGTACATCGCCCTAATAAACAAATGTGTCATGTAGATGCATTAAGTAGAGTGCAAAACATATTAATATTGGAAGCAAATACATTCGAACAGGTATTATCTATTAAACAATCAACAGACCCTCAAATTGTTGCAATTCGCGAAAAGTTAGAAAATTCAGATATTCCATACTATGAATTGCGGGATGGCTTGGTTTATCGTACAGATGGAAAAAAATTATTATTTTATGTACCTAATGAGTTAATAGATAATGTAATTAGAACTTGCCATGATAATGTAGGACATGTAGGTATCGATAAAACATTATCATTGATTAATAATTCTTATTGGTTTCCAAAAATGAGGGACAAAATTAAATATTATATTTCAAAATGTCTAAAATGTTTATCTTATGCTCCTAAAAATGGGAAGGCTGAAGGACTACTACATGCTATTCCTAAAGGTAATCTCCCATTTAATACTATTCATATAGACCATTTGGGTCCTTTTGAAAAAGCTCCTCATGGTCATAAATATATTTTTCTTGTTACTGATGCATTTACAAAATTTATTAAACTATTTCCTACCAAGACCACTAATAGTAATGAAGTGATAAAACACTTAAAAATGTATTTTAATTATTATAGCAAACCTATTCGTTTAATATCAGATAGAGGGTGTGCATTTACTTCAGCAACATTTCAGGAATTTATAAAAGAGTTAGATATTCAGCTTATACATATAGCTACTGGTACTCCTAGAGCAAATGGACAAGCCGAAAGAGTTAACCGCACAATTCTTCCAATAATAGCTAAATTAACACCTACTTTATCTCAATGGGATAGGACTTTAAGTGAAGTTGAGTACACCATTAATAATACAATTAACCGTTCAACAAATGAAATACCAGCAGTATTGTTATATGGTATAAAACAATTAGGTAAACCTGATGATGAAATAAAAAAATATTTAGATTCTTATGTTACACATAATGAAAGGGACTTAGAAAAACTTAGGCAGGATGCCTCCAATCACATTGACAAGGTTCATAACCAAAATAAAATATATTATGACAGTAAACATAAATTACCCACCAATTATAGTGAAGGAGACTTAGTTCTAATTAATAATTATGATGTCACACCTGGTATTAACAAAAAATTAATTCCAAAATTTAAGGGACCATACATAATAAAGAAAAAACTACCTAATGATAGATTTGTAGTGACTGATATACCAGGGTTCCAGCAGAACCAAAGATTATATGAAGGTATCATATCTATTGGTAATATAAGAATGTGGCAACCACATCTTGCATAGCAGTACAACTTGACTGTTTATATGGTTGTTTTAGTATTTGTTTGCACTTGTAAAAAAAAAAAAAAAACAGTTTTATAAAAATCATTTTTTTTTCTGTCTTTGTTTTGTATCATTATTATCTTAAAAAAAAAAAAAAAAAAAAAAATTGTTATTCTTTATGATATTTATGATTTAATTATGTATTATGTTATTAATTATGTTGTCTTGCTATTTTATGATATTATGAACATTGTTTTATTTTATGTTATTATTATGAATAATGTTATGTTTATTTATGCTATTTATGATATTTTATGATGTATTTATACTTATTATGAATACTGTTATGTTTATTTATGATATTTTATGATGTACTTAAGTTATGATTATGTTATTTTTTTTGTTATGGTATGTTAACTTTCTAATTTTGGGTTGAGGACAACCCTAAGTCAGGATGGACGAGTTGTAGGGTGAGGTTGGCAATACCACCATCCTACCACCTCCGACGCCGCACTGTTGTGTGTGTGTGCGTGTAGTACGTTACGTCTCTCACTAGTCTCGCTTTTAAAATATTATGTACGTTAAGGTTAAAACAGTAATAAACACTTATGAACGTTATTTTCTTTGTTGTTTTTTATGAATTATATATTTTAACTTATGTTATGTTGATTGATGATGGTTCGGCGTAAGAGTAACACGGCCTACAGAAGAAATTAAATAACTTATACAATTTAATAAAATTTTGAGAAAATAAAGAAAAATGAGACACAACTTGAGTGAACGATAGATCATTAGTAACTGAATATAATAAAAAAAAATAATCAACTTCAAAAATTATTGTAAATTTGTTTATCAAATTTTAGATAAAAAAAAAAAGTGTAACCAACACGAGTAAAAAAGAAAAACAATATTAAATATTTCTTTTACGTGAGACGAAATTTGGTGAACAAACAGTGTAAAATTTGTTACACGGTAAATCTGAGTGCTCCAAGGGGACATTCCCCCCTTGAACTTTTTTTTTTCCCTGGAAAAGCTGGCTGTGAACATACAAATATATACTACTGGTGAAGTCAGAATTTGGGGCTCGGACTTAGTTATCGATACTTCGAAACAGAACGATTCAGCCACAGCCTCAGCAGTGGATGTTCAATTGGAAATTGAAGCTTCAGAATCGCTCACAGGTGTGACTGCTTACTGTTTCTTAATTCATGATCGTATTGTAGAATATGTACCTTTTACTAGAGAAGTAAGAAAACTTGTGTAAATATTATTAAGAATTTATTTGTAACAATAAAAAAACTATGATTTAATAATTTTGTTTTTTTCTTGAAATAATTATTTTAGTTTTAAAAATTGGTAAATGTTAAATATTTTTTGTGCGAGACGAAATTTGGTGAACAATCAGTGTAAAATTTGTTACACGGTAAATCTGAGTGCTCCAAGGGGACATTCCCCCCTTGAACTTTTTTTTTTTCCCTGGAAAAGCTGGCTGTGAACATACAAATATATACTACTGGTGAAGTCAGAATTTGGGGCTCGGACTTAGTTATCGATACTTCGAAACAGAACGATTCAGCCACAGCCTCAGCAGTGGATGTTCAATTGGAAATTGAAGCTTCAGAATCGCTCACAGGTGTGACTGCTTACTGTTTCTTAATTCATGATCGTATTGTAGAATATGTACCTTTTACTAGAGAAGTAAGAAAACTTGTGTAAATATTATTAAGAAATTATTTGTAACAATAAAAAAACTATGATTTAATAATTTTGTTTTTTTCTTGAAATAATTATTTTAGTTTTAAAAATTGGTAAATGTTAAATATTTTTTGTGCGAGACGAAATTTGGTGAACAAACAGTGTAAAATTTGTTACACGGTAAATCTGAGTGCTCCAAGGGGACATTCCCCACTTGAACTTTTTTTTTTCCCTGGAAAAGCTGGCTATGAACATACATATATATACTACTTTCACCATCGTTTTCAGCTTACTTACTTACATATATTTCAGTTACAAAAAATCGCAAAAAAAAAGGTGTCCGGTAAAGTAGAAATATACCGTTGTTAATTATACTAACTTTTTGTGCAACGCCCAAAATGTTTTTTCTTACATATTTTGCATTCTAAAAAAATATTTAAATCATTTAGGTATTTGAAATCAATAATCTCATTTATAACATAAAATACTATTTATACATACTTGGTTTATCGTGAGATGGGGTCAGTTCTCCTACAACCAATAAGAACGGACTACCCCAATGTTACCAACTATGGAAAATCAAAATCTGAATACCGACTACCATTTTATCAGAAAATGATAAGCGGCAAATGAACGGGAGAGTGGGAGGTAGATTTTATTTTTATTTTTGAAATAAATTAATTTATATTTTATAATATGTCTTGTTTATGGAATTACAAACAATGGCTTATTAAAATCATAATCAGCATTCAGAATATACTTTAATACTAAAAATCTTTTTTTATAAATAAGAAGTGGGATATAACTGTTAGGAGTTATACATTGAACTGTTAGTTTGTCCCCTGTGCAGTCATATTATATACTAAAAAACTCTTTGGAAAAAATGCAAAAAATGTGAATATACAGATAGCCAATGAGTGCGTACAAGAGAGGGAATTTACATATACTTACTAACCTGTTACCTGAAAAACATTTTAAATTATCTTATACGCACTAATTCGCTAGGACTGTATGTCCACGAGATATTAAATCGAATATTAACACATTTAAGATAAAAAATTCAATTTTGTTTTATTTTTTTTTTATCCAATACAGCAAATATTGTAAGCAGCATAAATAAATATATGTATATACAAACATTTAGAAAAAAACAAACATGATTTAACAAATGGTATCGTACGAACCGGTTTCACAATTACAAATAACTTCGGTTTTACAATATTTACTTAAGACTTTTTGAACAAACTGATTTCCTTTTATTAACAATACAAATAAACATCTAGGTGAGAATCGAGTATGTTCTATAAAACAATTATCACCGATTTCAAAACTATGTAGAATTATTCCACACCAATGACATTGAACTGCATCGTCGAGATTGATATAGTAAAAACCACATTCCGAGAGTTTGTACTTATTCTGTCCGGTATTTGAAGGGAAACTTCTAAAAGTTCGTAACCTCGATACAAATGTAGAGAATTCTGGATACGCTGGCGTTGAATTGAATCGTATTTGATCGACCAATGACTGGATATCGTTTGAGCATTTTTTAAAATTCATTTTTGAAGAAATTAAATAACTTATACAATTTAATAAAATTTTGAGAAAATAAAGAAAAATGAGACACAACTTGAGTGAACGATAGATCATTAGTAACTGAATATAATAAAAAAAAATAATCAACTTCAAAAATTATTGTAAATTTGTTTATCAAATTTTAGATAAAAAAAAAAGTGTAACCAACACGAGTAAAAAAGAAAAACAATATTAAATATTTCTTTTACGTGAGACGAAATTTGGTGAACAAACAGTGTAAAATTTGTTACACGGTAAATCTGAGTGCTCCAAGGGGACATTCCCCCCTTGAACTTTTTTTTTTCCCTGGAAAAGCTGGCTGTGAACATACAAATATATACTACTGGTGAAGTCAGAATTTGGGGCTCGGACTTAGTTATCGATACTTCGAAACAGAACGATTCAGCCACAGCCTCAGCAGTGGATGTTCAATTGGAAATTGAAGCTTCAGAATCGCTCACAGGTGTGACTGCTTACTGTTTCTTAATTCATGATCGTATTGTAGAATATGTACCTTTTACTAGAGAAGTAAGAAAACTTGTGTAAATATTATTAAGAATTTATTTGTAACAATAAAAAAACTATGATTTAATAATTTTGTTTTTTTCTTGAAATAATTATTTTAGTTTTAAAAATTGGTAAATGTTAAATATTTTTTGTGCGAGACGAAATTTGGTGAACAATCAGTGTAAAATTTGTTACACGGTAAATCTGAGTGCTCCAAGGGGACATTCCCCCCTTGAACTTTTTTTTTTCCCTGGAAAAGCTGGCTGTGAACATACAAATATATACTACTGGTGAAGTCAGAATTTGGGGCTCGGACTTAGTTATCGATACTTCGAAACAGAACGATTCAGCCACAGCCTCAGCAGTGGATGTTCAATTGGAAATTGAAGCTTCAGAATCGCTCACAGGTGTGACTGCTTACTGTTTCTTAATTCATGATCGTATTGTAGAATATGTACCTTTTACTAGAGAAGTAAGAAAACTTGTGTAAATATTATTAAGAAATTATTTGTAACAATAAAAAAACTATGATTTAATAATTTTGTTTTTTTCTTGAAATAATTATTTTAGTTTTAAAAATTGGTAAATGTTAAATATTTTTTGTGCGAGACGAAATTTGGTGAACAAACAGTGTAAAATTTGTTACACGGTAAATCTGAGTGCTCCAAGGGGACATTCCCCACTTGAACTTTTTTTTTTCCCTGGAAAAGCTGGCTATGAACATACATATATATACTACTTTCACCATCGTTTTCAGCTTACTTACTTACATATATTTCAGTTACAAAAAATCGCAAAAAAAAAGGTGTCCGGTAAAGTAGAAATATACCGTTGTTAATTATACTAACTTTTTGTGCAACGCCCAAAATGTTTTTTCTTACATATTTTGCATTCTAAAAAAATATTTAAATCATTTAGGTATTTGAAATCAATAATCTCATTTATAACATAAAATACTATTTATACATACTTGGTTTATCGTGAGATGGGGTCAGTTCTCCTACAACCAATAAGAACGGACTACCCCAATGTTACCAACTATGGAAAATCAAAATCTGAATACCGACTACCATTTTATCAGAAAATGATAAGCGGCAAATGAACGGGAGAGTGGGAGGTAGATTTTATTTTTATTTTTGAAATAAATTAATTTATATTTTATAATATGTCTTGTTTATGGAATTACAAACAATGGCTTATTAAAATCATAATCAGCATTCAGAATATACTTTAATACTAAAAAT